GAGCAGTTTAAATTCTCTCACACAGCAATATTTGTAATAGGGAATACAGCCACTGCTAGAAAAGGTCACGGAAATGATGCTATGCTCCTCCCTTTACAGCCTACCAAGTGGCCCATGATATGTTTAGAAATATTTTCCAATTAATATATTTTCCAATTTTCTACAGTAAAATTAACAATGGCTATATTTCATAAACTTCCTGAGGAATATATTGTGAGTCTATGTGTGAAAGTTGTGTTCCTTGCTCTATATTCACCTCTAAGCTATAACATCCACTGAGGCTTCTTACCTGAATTAATAATTTAATCCAATAGATGGGTTGTTATGTTATAATTCCATTATTCTTTCTGCATTTGAGCCTCGGCATTCTCCTTTGTAGGATTTCTCTTCTCTCCATTATCTACAGAACTGTTTACATTTTAAGGACTAATGCCTTCCTGTTGCATGCCATGGATTATATTCCATTGTGATCAAAACTCGTTATGATGCTTAAAACATTCCAGTTGAGCCCCTGGGTGCTACTTCACACTGGCAAGCACGTCCGTTGAGCAAACTAGACCACCCTTTGAGAATTCCGCTCTTTGTGATTCAAAGGGTTGTTTTGGATTTCTAGTATATATTTCCTAACTTGCCTTTGATTTTTACTTAAGAAATTCTGATTTTTTTCTTTGGAGAGCAATGGCCTGACTGCTCGTACGTTTTCTATGTCATCAAAACTGCACTATATATATTATATATATAAATATATATATATTCCAAAATATAGATACACAAACCCAGATTTACAAGATTGGAAATTGTAAGTACAATAATATCTAGGATTTATTACAAAGTCAGTTCAAGTGCCTAGTAAGCAGAGTAAATTTTTAGTGCAAACCAGAAGATAATGTCACATTAGGTGTTAACTCATTAGAGCTCAAAATAAATTAAATAATGTTGTGCCATGTTATACCTTATAGTTTTAATGGATATTTATAGCAAAATGGCCATGTTGAGGTAGTCTGCACAGGGCTGTGTCAGCTAAATATCTTGAAGGAATATCATGGTATTCATTTTTACTTTTTGCAGTTAGTGTGAAGGAAATATCAGCACTGGGGTATTTATTCTGTCAAAATATACCTTCTGTTTGTGGGTACTTTATAAATTCTTTCATAAATCAACACAAATATAATTTATTCACTTGGCATGAAATAGGCATAAAAACAGAAGACAGTTTACAATCCTCCAGAGATTTAATTGCACAACTGTCATCATTTATGTAAAAGTTAAAATTTAACAGCATTGATTGTCTCTCTGTAGATTGTAAGTAAAATTTAACTTCAGTTTATGAAACCATGAGTTAAAAATCCTAGAGAAATGGACAACTTCTAACTTACATAGAAATATCTACGTGTACATACGTACAAACAAACCAAAATGATTTCTGAGTTCTTTTTTAGAATTATCTCAAGTTTAACATCTCTGTGCTCTTTCCAGCTATCAGTCTGTTTCCATATAAATAGGTAATACTTGGGAAATACACCAAAGCAGTTGAAGGTAAATAAGATTACCTTTTACTTAAAGTGAATAAACTGAATAAAGTGCGTCAGCCAGAAAATATAAAATAAAAGCTTCCAAGTCAATACTGAGCTGTCAGAAATGTGAGCATATTTTACAAAAAAGTGTTTCAGATGTGGGAAGTGGGGACTTAGCCAATGGAATCAAGTAATAATTTTTACATATTAAGAAAGATATCTATAAATCAGCTCCTGAGGAATGCTTTTTAAGATGTTTAGAGTAAAGCAAAATCTTTATTCCTTAAACACAATCTGAATTTTTTTTTTTACACTGTACAGATTTTCCTAGACAGAAATACTGTGCATCTTTACAACTCACAATGCTGCAAGCACTCTGGCTCTTATGGCAGCTGCCGGTCTTGGTCTAATAGGAAACAATTAGCATTCTCAGTGAACTACTTCAAGTGATTCAGCTTCTGAGAGATGAATCTGCGAATGCGGCCTCCTCAGGAGCACAGACCAATTCTGGCTCGCAGCCAGCTCACCAAGGCATCAGTCCTCTGACATTTCTTGGAAGGGAGCCAGTCAGCTTTCCTTGGGGACCCCAGTCTGAGAACATACTCTCCATTTAAACTTCTTCAATAAGTAATAACCATCCTTAAAAAATTCAGAGGAGTTTTTCATCTTAATTTCAGAAACAACAGGCTAAAAAGGTGATCAGGAAATTACAGTGGCCCAGAAAAAATAAGCCAAAGTGGAAGAATATACCATAGTGGACTTGAAAAATATTTAGGGAAGGCACTCTGTAGACAGGGGTTATGGGAGAAGCCGGGGAACAGAGAAGAAAAGAAATAGGCCACACCTAGAGCTGGGTACGTTGTTCGTTTTAATATTGACTTGAACACTTTTGGCCTCAAGAAGTTTTTCCAAACTTATAGGAATATTAAAAATTGGATTCATATTTATTGTTCAAGGCTCCTCTTTGCTTCTTTTTTACTGATAAACACGCTGTTTCAGAGAGGCTAAACAACTTGCCAACATCACATAAGTCAATAAGTAGTGATATGCCCAAGTTTTACATTCAAACCATATGCATGCACCTTTATTCAATTTTTCCAGATACCAATTATACTGTTTTACTCTCATTATTGATTATGGGTATAAAATTCCATATTCATTGATATGATCTATCAATATTCAATATATTTAATCATTTGTCAAATATTTTTTGAGTACAAACTGTGGGATAGACCTTAAACCAGATATCGGGAAGAATGTGGATTTAAACATAGAGAATGGAATCTAATTTGGGAGATGAACATTACTCAAGTACTTACATTTACTTCATATCACATGTCTTCGAAGTGCTGAAAAGACAGGCGCAGGGGGGACTCGGCACCTAAAGCTGGAGACTTCACCTGATCACTGAAATTAGGGGGGTTTTTAAAGAAACAACTCATTGAGCTGAGACATGTAGGGAAAGGCTGGACTGGATGAAGTAAGGAGAAAAATAATCAAATGATAAGACCCTGCTGAGGCAGGAAGCTATGGGAATTGGAAAAGTCTCTTGCGGCCACAGCGGAGAGAATAAAGGGAGATTTACGCACAGCCATGCCAGTGAGAAGATACCAGACTGTTCAGGGCTCCATAAGTTTCCAGAATGGCCACACTCAAGAGAGCTTTGAATGAGAACCAATTTAAAAAAATTGTGAGTTTCATTCTGTACATGATGGGTTTGGGGCATTTTTGTGACCACAAAAAAAGAGGTGTCAATTCCAGACCTGGAATTTAGAGAAAAGTGCTGCATTAGACTTATAATTTTGAAAGTTTTGTGTGAAAAGGGAAAAAAATGCAGTGAATATGATAAAAATCTGCACATAGTCTATCAAATGAAAATTGAAAGTTTAGAATATGAATTTGAAGATTTTTTTGTGATTGTGTCCCTTCATTTTCCTACCCAGAACCACAGAATTTAATGATATATAGGCGAAAATATAGATTTGAGAGAAAAAAAGAGAGCAGAAAACTAGAGAATTTGATCATTGTACCATGTGAGGAGAGCTTCCTCAATTGGTCTGCTGTTTGAAATGCTGACCAGTTGTAAAATAAAGTGAACACTAAAAATACCTCAAGTTTAGCAACACTGAACTTCACTGACCTTAATGATAAACCTATTGCTTGAATAAAGTAACTTCCATTTTAATTTTGCTCTTGCTTCTTATATCCTCAGTTTTAGGTTAGAATAAAGTAGGAATAGTCTGCCAGAAATTATTGAAAGCAAAGAAATACCTTTCCTAAGGAATTGTTCTCTTTTTTCTATATATCATTTCTTATATATTATATGTCCATATACATATGGTGTTCAATGATCCATAACATCTTAATGAACTTTTCAGTCTCCATACCTGTCAATTAAATATCACTGACTTCTGATGTCAACAATTATACTTTTTTTCTCAAAATTTGGATTTAGAAAGAGACAATGTATTCTTTAAAAGTGGCTTGAGATTCTATTAATTTTTCCTTTCATATAAAATATTTTAATAAATGGTACTAAAGCCCAAAACATTTAGAGATTACTTGCCATGTTCCAGTAATAGACCTGGGACACTTACAAGGCAAATGAGAGGTCATGCAAACTTGAATTGGCTTGCCTTCTTCTGTGTCTAGCAGCTCATGCTAAGAATTTTTCAAAGATATAATGGTTTGGATCAAATATATGTATATTTTTAGCCCACATTCTACATATCAGAAGAGATTCTGATAACATTTACCTGTGTACTAAAGGAATCTGTCTGACATAAGATTAGAATAACAAAAGTGTGCCAGTTTTTAGTTCTTTTCATTTGATTCAACTCACCATTTTTGTTAGCCATGCACACAGAGATACACACACACACACAAATCTACACCACATACATGCACACAAATATAAAACATAATATAAAAGGTAGATCTAAGAATGATTTGTTTCTGATTGACTAAAATTTAAGACATGTTTGGTAATAAAGTCATCCTAATTTTTAGACCTCAAAGCAAATTAATTACTTGTACACATACTTTAGGATATATTTTGCAGGATTTCCATGAAAAACAAAGAATTTAAAGTGTTTTCTGTGCTTGCTTCAGCAGCACATATGCAAAGTGCTTTCAGTGTTTGTATTCTTCTTATAAAACAAATTTGGCCATATTTTCTCTAAATCAGCCAAAAACTTGACTGTTTCAAATCTTTTGTTCAAAAAAATTACTAGTAGTTAAAAACTTTCAAATGTGGAAAAGCCCACAATATTTGATTTCATAACTTACACTTGAACTATGTATTAAAAATATGCCAAAATTCCTCTATAGACAAACAAGCTTGGAACGTCCAGTCATAAAGCAAAACTACCTTGATGGAAGACTTGTAATAAATTGACTTTTTCTTAGGCTGGAGAACTTCCACTTCGATGAGTCACTGGTGACTTGACAACTGCCATTCACTTCTGTCTTCTTGGCTAATTTCAGAGCACATTCAGAAAATGAAGGGACCTCTTTACCATCTGCGGACTCCTGCACCAGTCCGACGAAGATGGACTCATCCTATAGTAAGACTGCTAAGCAGTGCCTGGAGGAGATATCTGGTGAGTGACACTGGTGATGGAGAGGTCTAATAGCAGAATTGCTGTCATCTCCCTGTAAGTCTTTTTGTTAAATCACACTTCTGATGTACTTTTTGCAAACCTATGCTTTGTGCTTCTCTTTTTGCAGAGATTCTTAGGTATGTGACTATTCTGCTCAGGAAGAACTCTGTTACTCTGAAAAGAGTGGCAATACTTGCGAAAGTTGATTCTATAAATCATTTTGCCTTTAGTCAAGTTGAATTTAGTCAAGAAAACCTGGAGAAGCTGTTGTTAATAAAGGAGCTGTTGGATAATATTTGGAGATTGAAAATACATAAATGCTCAAGTGATGTAAATGACTAATTCAGATCTGCTCTGTCTTCATTTGTGTACATTTAGAGGCATGTCTGATGGTGGCTCCAAATGTACGTTTGGAGGAAATCTAGGAAATAATTTCCTTATACATATGTAGATAATGTATGAAGAATATACATGCCCCAGATTTAAATTGTTAGATTTTTAAGTGTATTAAGCAGGTTTGTTTTAGCTTCAGCCCAAAGTTTTTTCTTAGAATTCAGATAAGCCCAGACATATATGGAAAATCTTTAGTGTAACTGTACCATACAGACCTATATTCACAAAGAACTAAGTAAATACTTATCAAAAGATACTGCTCCTAAAGAGTGAGTTTAAGATTTTATGGCTTTTAAGAATTCATAAAAGTAAAGATGTGTTTGTTATTCTAACAAATCTGGCTTAGCCTTCCTGTAAGTACAAAGAAAAAAATAAATGAACTAATTAATTTCAATAATTATTGTACTTCTCCGAGAATTCAAAGTATAACTGTTACACAAGCTCATGAGAAAGACACTATTACAATTTGGGGCAATTAAGAAATATCCATACTTTAGCAGGTTGTTTGCCTACAACAAACTTTAGCAGACTTAGGCATTACTACAGTATCCTCCGGTACATATTGACAACACTGACAGGCAACATTCTAAGGGTGATTTTGGAATTAACATTAGTGATCACTAGGCATCAGACACTTTACATGGAAAATACAGGGAAGCAGTAGAAACTGTGATAATAATATACAGCTATGGAGATTATATTTGTTGATTTTTCATATAGTTGGAAGAAGTGGCTTTCTGTTAGCTCTACAAAGTATCATGACCAGAATGATGCTGGGTATTTATATTGTGACCATATGCTTTATAAACGTAACATAACAAAAGAGGCACATACTTCCCATATTTCTTTATTCATTAATGTCTTCAATATGCCTATGAAGTACCAGAGATCACATTTCTAGCTGAGAATAAATGATTACAATGATGAATTTCACAAAGGTATATTTTTTTCTGAAATTAGTATATCACTGAATAGATCTGTGTGATAAATAATCCATATTAAAATTTTTGTATAGTCTCCTATTCTGTCCAGTATTTAATTATTTTCCATATTTCCACTTAATACATTTCTGTTTTTAATATGTGAAAATGAAATATAGGCTAGACTTTAATATAATCCTAATGGATTCTATAGAAGGGATAGTATTATTTTGGAGTAATAATGAATTTCTTATACAGAATCAGTTTTGAAGAAAGAAAACAGAAAGTAAACACTGCAGTGTCATATCTGATGGTGTCATTCTCATTGTTATGTTTAAAGTTGGCCTCTTGTGGGGTAGAAAAAGTGTCCTCCAATGCAAACTTTAGACAGTGGAAGAGGAATGATATTTAGCTATTGTCTATATGTCATAAATTGTGTACAGGGTAAGCATCTCTCATCCAAGCTACTTAGGACCAGAAGTGTGTCAGATGTTAAATATGTTTGGATTCTGGGATATTTATATATATATAATATTGTGGGATGGGAACCAACTCTAGTATGAAATTAATTTGTTTCATATATACCTTATTCACATAGTAACTTTATACAACAGTATTAGTATACCTGTGTTTTTAAAAATTATTTTTAACCCATAAATAATCATTGTACATACTTGTATGTTCTAATAATGTATTTTGGCATATGCCTATATTTGTGTCCTACTGTCATAAAAAATAGCCATTAATCTCAGTCTAGCTCCTCTACCATTATCTCCTAAACCTACTGTAACTAAGCTTTTATCCTGTGTCACCATGAAAGCACTCTTAAGGTTAATAACAATGTCAGCATGGCCAACTCCAAGCATCAATCCCAGTCTTCATCTTATTTCATCATTCACCAATCATTTGTCCTCCTCTGGGAAAGTTTCTCCTTTAAAATGTGCTTTTCAAGGTACCACATTCCTTTGGTTTTCATCAAACTTTATTATTTGCTCCTTTTTGGTCTTCTTTTTAATTCTTATGACTGATACATTTTCCACTTATTATGATTAAAATGATCCAGACATCTGCCCCTGAACTTCTGTCCCTACAAGTTCCCTTGGTGAGTCAGTTCTCGATCATGGTTTCAGTCTATCCATGTACCCAAGGTTCACAGGTGTTTCTGTTCGAATTGTCTCCTTTATATCCTGGAACCAAGTATCTCCCTCCTTACAAAACCTGAACACAGATACTTCCAACCTGTTATACCGAAACCTGAACCTCTTAGTATTCTTAATTTTTTAAACTTTTCTTTTTAGTCCTCCTGATTCACAGTCTATCAGGATTAAATTCACCATGGGGAAGGGTACGTGTACCTGACTTCATTCTTTTCTCACTCCTTTGTTCTCTCCTCTCTCTGACCTCCCTCCATCTTAAATATTTTCTTCCTTATAAACTTTTCATTTCAACCTTCTCCATTTTATTGAATGGTAATTCCATTTTTCTACTTGATCGGGCCTGAAATATTAGAACTGTTTGTGATTGCTTCCTATCTCTTACACCTAGTTTTTTAATCCAATAAAGTACCTTGTTGGGTCCTGGGGTATTGTTGCTATCTGAATTTAGGAAGAAGTACTATATGTATTGATCAACCTTATGAGATAGTTCTCAGTGTTAGAACTCTTACTATTTTCTTTCACTATTTCACAAATGAAATAAATCCAGATGATACTCTGAACTTATTGTACCTCACTTAAGAATGAAGATATTCAATAATCTAAGATAACCAATAATTACATTTGCAAAATATATCCAGATTTCAGCTATTTCTTTCCATCTGTATTTTTCTTTGTTGTCAGTTGATGTATTCCAAGTGAAGGATTGGTGCATAGTTACTACTTCATAAAAGTGTATAAAAATGAAGTTATTGCAATTGACATATCATAAAAATGAAAGCCACAGTGAAGTGTCAGGAAAGTTATGCCATAGACAGGAAAGTTATAAAAGATATCTTTGGCTTTGGAAGCAGTCAGAAAGTAGTAACCATGGTGAATATAGGGTGAATAACACTCATCAGAAGGAATCTGCCAAAGTGGAAATTAAAAATTTAATTTTGATGATACCTTCACTGAATAATCAAAGAATCTGAGGATTAAAACGTTTATTCATTCAAGAGAAGCAATATAACAGTTCATAAATACTCTCTGATGAGCTGGAACTTTAAAAAACATGTAAAACGAAAGAAAGAATGTGGATGAGAGCATACTAAGAGTAAATCTATAAAGGAGTGTACCCATCGGAACTGTAAAGCCCATGCGATCTTTCCTAAATTAACATAGCTTACTTTTCTGAGAGTCTCTATCCCTTACACCTCCCTCCTTCTTTTTCTTACTTTTGTTGTTGCTGCTACATTCTAGCTACTAGTACAATGACAAACTGAACCCTTGAGTCCAGTACTGGGTCCCAGCATAGACTGCCCCACAGAGTATTTCTTCAAAGATGATAGCAAATGTGGGAAGACAAGGGTTCTAAATATTGCAAAACAAGAATTCTGGCCTTTGTACTGCTATTGTTCACTTGTTTGAATTTTTCCTTTCTTTCCTGTCTCTGAAGTGACTTTATGGTCTTAAGAAACTCAAAAGATTTTTGAGAGCTCTGGTGCTTTCTTCCTGTCTTTTGAGTAATAATCACTTTGCGTATGTGTCAGGCATCCCCAAAGTTGGAAAACAAACCTGTCAATCGCTCCTCTGGAGTAGTAAGGAACAAATAGATACACCTTAAAACCATAAGTAAGGGAAATAATTGACTTTTGGGAGCAATTAAGTCAGTTGTAAAGAGTCAAACAGGTGTTAAAGGAACACTAGATGTATATGTTGTGGACTCTTGGTGTACAAATAAATCAGGAAATAATATTCCAGGAAGAAATGACTTCAGAAAAATGAACTGAGGACAAATGCTATTTACCTTATTATTTTCATTAGTGTGCTTTTGTAAAACTTGACATTTTTCCTAAATTCATGTGGATCTCTGTGACTCACTGATTTAACCCAAAGTTTCAGCATCATTGCAGTTTTTGAACTCTTACTGCTCATGGTTAGTTGGTGTAAGGACTCAATGGGAAATAATTACGTCTTGCTTCCCAAGTAAAGTGATTTTCATGCTGTATTTCACTGATGAAATAAGTCTTGGTAGGGTAAAATCTAGTTTTCATACGTTTTAAAACCTATATAATTTGAAGAAGTTTGAAGATAACAAAAATATAAAAACACAAAGTTACGTGCAGTGATTCTGAAGGAGTCTGGGAGCCTTTGGCAATCGTCACTTCATCACCCTGCCCTCACAGTAAGTTTCCCTTGAAATCTTCATGTAGTTTTATTTGACTAATGTCCATTGCCTGATTTTCTGATAGAAGTAACATGTTTTCCTTTGGGGATTATTCTCTTTGCATATGGCCAAATAAAATTGGTCCAAGTACAGCCAACAAACCAATCCTTTCTCAACAGTTTCAAGAATGGACAAATGACTGAATCTATTTCAATCAGAATAAAAATGAAACTCAACTGAAAATGTTTTCTAAGACTATCATAAAAGAGATGGTCTCTTCCTCCATTAGGCCTGGAGCTGCTAAAAAGGAAAGCTTTGCAGTTATAGCATTGTCTTCATCCTCACTGAAACAGACAAAGAACAGAGAACGTAAAGCAGCAGAGA